AAAAATATTTGTCATATAAAATGTTGTCCTTATTTTAACTGAACGCTTATAGTGACTCTAATACCAGTGTGGGGCTTTAATTGAACTTGTAATCTTGAACATAACGAAAAATTAAAATTTTGTTACAATAATTTAGAAAAAAAAAACTTTTCTAAATCTAAAACCCAAAGTCGGATCAAATGAGACATTGAATTAAATTATAACACATCATAGAGGTTTAGGAATGTACCTTTTAGGATCTGGTGAAAATTCTGATCCGGCACTTAGAAACCCAACACGGTTTTCCTTTACACGTAGATATCAAACCTAAGCAAATAAAAAATAAAATCAAATCCCAAGAAAATAAATCAAAATGAAACCCTTTCTTCCGACAAATTTTGCATCTTCACATACTTCATGAGACAAGTTCATCCTCAAGGGATTCATCATCACTATGAGTTTGTGACCAGAATCATTGGTTGTTTGTCATCTTTTTGGGTCTGTATTCCGATTTTTGAGTTCTCAATTGTAAAAAATGATCTTTAACTGTAACACCCTCAAATTTGGAAAGAGCGAATAAATTAATTATTTTATAATACATCAAATAAAAGATAAATCCCTTTCTATAAATCAATACTTGAATTACCTCGAATAACAAATCTAGATTTAATGTCAACAGTAAATAAACCAAGCCTTACATAAGGATTAGGTCAAGGTCGAGTGTCTCCAAACCCCCTATGCGTTTTCTGGTAGCGCAAATGCGCTCGCGGAGACTAGATTAACTTTCCAGGATAAAGAACTTTCATCGGGGTGAATTCTAAGATTCCTTATTCCGGTTGTTAAAATATGAAGTTTTACGCTTAAAAGGGAGAAATGTTCTTGGTGGATGTAGCTCACATCTCAGAACTCAGAAAACCGCATCTAGGCAACTCTTAAAGTTTCTTTATTCGTGGAAGGTTCATGGAAAAGGGAAGCAAGTTTTTGCCTTTATTGAGGTAAACAACCCCGACCAATATCAGGGGGAAAAATTGATTAAATTCTTGTTATTTGATTCAAATTTGTGATTAGACCCTTTATTAATTGTGTTTCTACATCATTTTCAAGTCCCATTATCATATTCTAATCATGTTTTGTTGAGTTTTTGTGATTTCAGACTCGAATTGATCAAGATTCAAAGTTATTGCATGATCATCATAATAATCACACAACTGTGTATTCAAAGTTATTGCACAAGTGAATCTTCATAGTTATCACACATAGTTTGTGTGCGACAAACAAAGTTTTCGCATAACAAAGGCGTGTAATATCAGGTTTATCGCACAAAACATTGTGCGACAAAGAGTTTTATCGCAAAAGAGTCGTGTGATATATAGGGCTATCGCACAAGAAACATGCGATATACTACTGTTCATAAATTTATAGCGTGTGATATAGGAGGTTATCGCACAAGAGGCCTGCAATAAACTTACTGTTCATTATTGTGTTGTACGACATTTGATTTTGTGTTCTATGCGATAAAGGTGTTATGCGATAACCTCCTTTAAGTCGCAGTAGGGGAACACTATTCATTTTGATTTGACTTTATGTCAAAGTTTTTCAAATCTTCTGATAATCATTTTGGTTAACGGTCATTTGGTCAGGTAACAAGTGTTCATATTTTTGGTATATTCAAAGATCTGATTTAGTGTTTTTGATTTTTTAGAGGATAATGAATAATATTGTTTTGGAAAAACATAATCTGGAACTCAAATAACATATTCTATTTTGGAGGAAACCGGAAAACAATTATAATTTTCTTCTAAAAATGAATAATGAAAATGCTCAAAATTTAAGTTGGGCAAAAAGTATACAAGAAGATAAAGAAAAACTTGTTGAAGAAAAGTAGTTTGCAAAAGCAATTACTTGAGTTCTTTAAGAATCCTAATAGTTTAAGATATGCGACTAAAAGTATTAAGAAAAATGTTGAGCTTTCAAAGAAAATATCTGAACTTGAAAAGGTTTTGGATACAAAAAGAAAGGAGTTTGAGAAAGAGAAAAAGATTTTTACTGATGAGAAGAACAAGTTTGATTTTGGAAGGAAATGTTTTGAAAGCAAAATTAAATCTTGTAAGATGACAACTGGTGAAGCTTTCAATATAGATTTCTGAATTTGAAAAGATTGTTGTGCTTGAAAGAAAAAAGTTTGATAAGGAACAAGAAGAATTTGAGTTTGAAAGAAAAGGTTTTCAATCAAAGATTCTTGAACTCATAAAGTAGATAATTGTTTTTGAGAGTAACAAGAAAAACTACTCATAAGAAGTGTGTTTAAATTTTTAAAGAAATGTCTGACAAGAGGAAAACTTTGGAAAAAGACTTTGAAGATGAGAGGAAAGTATTTGAAAATGGGATTGTAAGCTTTCAAAGAAATTATCTATCTTAGAAACAGATCTTGTGACTGAGTAGAAAATGAAATATGAATTTCAAACGAAATTTGATTTGATTATTGGAGAAAGAATTGTTTTGTCCGACAAAGTCAAAGAACTTGAACAGATAATTTTCAAAACTAAGCAGAGAGTTAAAGAGAATTCAATTAAAGTTGAATCTTTCTGAATATGTTAGTCCTGATACTACTGTTTTTTCACCGTATAATGAATCAACTCATACTGATTTTGTTTTCTCTTATGAAACTGCTTCAAGTTCAATTCATAAATTTGATCATTTTTCTCCAATCTGTATTTGTAAGAATAAGTACTTTTCAAGTGTTGAATCTAATCGATATTCTAACAGATACAACAAATCAAATGGTTCTTCAAAACATTAGACTCATCAATCTAATCTGTTTCATAATGATTCTGTTGATAGTTTAGGTAAACATTTTAAAAAGGTGAAAATGTTTTAGAGAAGAAAATCAACTACAGAGGACAATGTTGGAAACAAGCCACATCAATCTCCTTTGATTTACAAAATCATTTGTTTCAGAATAGCAAATCTTCTTTTGGCTACTCAAGTATCGCGTGTCACCCCACCTAGCTACTCAAGTATCTCATAAAAGGTGCTTGTTTCATATATTACGGAGAATTAACATATAATCTATCTATTTCTTCATTAGAAAGATTTAGATATTGAAACAAGAAGACGCACATCCAGTCTTCGAACTTTATGTTATATGTACATTGAGTCTATTGAGCCAAATATATCTGAATGATATTTTCTTGACACATTAACGTGTCTTTGTGATTCCCATTGCATATCTTTGTGTTTATGTTAGAACAGTTTGAGAAGTTAGTTTTTTAACTTTATTTCTGTGATAACTTGAAGTCCTATCAGAGATTTATTATTGCAAACTCTGAAAATAGGCCACTAAATTGAATCTTTTCAATCGTAGTGATAACAGTTACTAAATGTGATTCTGTATGTTAGACGATTACCCAATTTTCAAGGGGGAGAGATTGATTATAATGGAATTATCTTTTATGAAGGGGAAATTGGTTTGGAAAAGATCAATTTTTAAGGTGGAGGAAATTTTAATTGTCTGAAGAAGAGAATTTTATTTTGTGTAAAGGGGGAGATTACCTGAAGTTGCTTAAGAAAAATATGTACAACGGGAGTATATTTGAAGAAATTTTTGTTTACTTTTTTGTATTATTCATTCGGGGAGAAATTTCAGTCTTGATTGTTCATGATGTTTAGGTTTCTCTTAATCATCATGAGGGGGAGAAATAGTATCAAAGACATATCAAAGAGGAGAAGAGAAAAGATTATCAAAGATATTTGTAACATGTGCTAATGTTCAGAGGGAGCTAACAAAAGATCATATATGTAGGGGAAGTTAAATTTTAAGTGATCATGTTGAAGAGAAGATTTGTATCTAATCTTTTGAATCTAAGGTTGAAAATCCATTGGATTTAAAGATTGTAGATGTGATGAAATGATTGATACTGATTTGAAGCATTTGGTGTTGACATACTGACTTGTGTTGACTTATCTGTGAAAGATTCTTTGAATGATTGAATCAGAGTTGTTTGAAGAAAGTTGTTGACGAAATTGGATTCTTTCATGATATAATGATAATGAGCTTAGTTCACATAGTGTCAAAACTTAAAGCCTACAATGTCTAGAACTAATTTGTTGATTGAAAAGGATTTGTTGAAGATTTGTTGACCGTTGAAAATTGAAAACTGTTTTAAAACGTCTGAAGGTTTTGAAGATTGTTTCAAAGTGAAGATTTTGATCTAAAGAATATATTTGTTAAAAACGGGAGATTGTTATTTTTTAGATTCGTCTTATTCGATGTTTGATAAAGTCTGATTGTCTTCATTGGGGGAGATAGTTTAAATGAAAGATTGATTGAAGTGAAAACAAAGGGATTTTTTTTTTGGAAAAATGTGACCTCGAATATAAGAGGAGAAATTGTTAGGTCCAATATTATTGTATTCGAGATCACTGAGCAATGAAGAATGAAGGGGTCAAAGATGAAAGTCAACATGGTCAAAGAGTTGTTTACAATTGTGAAATATCAACATTATAACTAGAGTTTGCTGTAGTTTACGTTCTTGTAATAGTCGATGGTATAAATACCTTGACTTCTTGTAATTAGAAAATGTTTCTTTATTGTAATATCTTAAAGAGAGATTCTAGATAGAGAAACTTTGTGTAGAGAGAAACATATTATGACATGATGATTTCATCTTTAATTGTTGCTCTTGATTGTTGAATTACATTGTTACTTGATTATTATTAGTTTCCTAATTTAACCTTTGATTTGTTATTGAGATTAAATCTCACCGTTATTACAAATTATTGAATTCTCTCTTGAATGACCCCATATATATATTGGAGCGATTAAATGCAAACCATCCAATTTGTACAAATTGTGTAAACCACTTTCATCTATCGATCTCGTTATTTAATCTTATGAAATATATAGAGATATATATATGCTAATAATAAACAAGAACCAATATGTTATAGTTGTAACATATATAAATAAATGGATGGATGAATTGCTTAAATTAAATCAGCAAAGAAAAAGAGCAGGTAGATTGGGATTCAAAATGCACATATATTCTCTGCAAAAACAAAGTACAATAATCTGATTACTAATATTATTTTATGCACGATATATAGAAGGGCAAGAGTGGTCTTATTTTATTAGAAATCTGAGCATATGGTGTCTGTCTGCCACATGTACAACTAATATATATATATATATGTAAGTATATATATATATATACCATATGATGGATAGTGGGTGTTAGCTGCAAGTGGTACAGTTGCAGGTCTTGGGGACGAAAGCACAGACGCCAAAAGGCTTGTTTGGAAGCTGACAGTCTATGCCAAAACAACATGGCATGTTTGAGCAGGTGGTTGGATCAGTGGCCACCACACAGCACTTGCAACCCAAGCATACCTGAAAAGGACCAAGCTTCCTTCGCTGCTTATAATCCATTTCCAACCTGAATTCACTTCTCCCCACTCCTATTGGTACTAATTCACCAATTTTACTACTACTCTTTTCCAATTCATCACCACCTGCACCATCTGCTTCAAATTTTATAATCATTCATCACAAACCATCCACATCCAATATACATATACATATACATATAGAAGAACGATTATTAAGAAGGAGAGCAGCTAGCAGCTAGAGATCGATTGTTACCTGAATGCTTATAATTGATGAATAGGATTAACATGAGCAAGAAGAGGATACTGGAAGCATGTTTACTGCAGCTTCCCATATGAACCATCGGTGCTCACCAAAAGAGAAAGAGAGAGAGAGAGAGATTCTTTGAATGAGTTTATTATGTGGTGTAGAACGAAAGGCCGAGGAAAGAGGTTAAGTTAGTGAGATCACAGAGAATCTTGATGTACATCTCTCACTAGTTGTCTTTCATCATGCTTCTTTTATTTATATATATCAAAAGTATATATATATATATATATATATATATATATAATATATATATATAATATATATATATATATATATACACACTTTTATGTGAAGTTAATACAAAATTAGTCTTTTAAACAATCATTTATTAACAAATCTCTCGAAAAGATGAAGTGGATGGTAGGAAGGAATATATAGATGTAGAAAAAAAACATATATCATTAATAAATGCATTTAATCGTATTCTCATATTTATTGAACTTGAAGCAAACTTAGATTAAAATAGGGAATAACTAAAATCACAGTAATAGTTAATTTTAGATGGCTTTTGTTTGACCTAATCAATACGTTACATATACTATGATAATTAAATATTTCTTTTAAGACCCCAAACCACCTTTTTCTTCAAGTTCTTCAATCCCCCTCAAGTTGGTATGTGTGTCAATCATATCCAACTTGTTTTTCATCTTGTCGCATTTGTTTTTCAACATGTTTTTTATCTTTTCTATCGTTAAGGCTTGTATCTTCGTCATTGTAATACCAATATCTATAGCAGATTAGCTTTCGTTGTTATCCATAAAAATCTCATATGTCACTCTCTCCTTTATCGTATTGTGATTGCAAAACTTATTAATGGTCGTGTTTTGCTAAGTAAAAATCTCAGTTGTATGCTTATCATTTATCCGAAGGTGGTTCTATTGTTGCAGACATTTCAAAGTTTAAGGAGATTTTTGGTGACTTATGAAAATTCTGGATGTGCTATATGATGAGGAAGATTTTGGGTCGATCTTGTTATGTTCTTTTCCTTCGTCTTTTGCCAATTTTTAGGGATACAATCGTTTATAACTGAGACATGTACACTCATTATTAAAGAGGTGTACATGCACTTTGTTGAGTTCGAAAGAAAATGAAAATAGAAGTTCAAGGTAATGAGCCAAAGCCTGATAAACTAACTAATTGGAAGAGTAAGATCATCTGAAAAGATTTCAAATTCTTCTAGAAAGTCGGACCAAAGTCTCATGATAAAAAGAAGTTTTGCAATTTATGTAGAAGGAAATGTCAAATGTTTATTTTGTTGGAAAAAGATTATTGATGAATGTTTAAAGCTACGAGTTGAGAACAAAGTTGCCACCAAAGAGAAGTTAGTTGGAACTTGCAGTGAAGATAATACAGTTGAGTCTGAGGATGATGAAGTCATGGTTGTTTCTGATAATGAAGTTAGCCTATAGAAGATTGGATTCTAGATTCGGGTTGTACTTTCCACATGTGCCCCAACTTTTGTTGGTTTCATCTTGAAGGAGTTGTGTTGATCGAATGTAATGTCGCGTGTATTATTGAGGGTCAAGGCGTAGTTTGAGTCTTCATGCATGATGGAATTGTGCATATAATGGGGAATCCAAAACATGTTCCCAAGATTTAAAGATATCCTTTTTAGCTCGCTTGATGAAAAGGTCACAAGTTCTTGCATATAAATTAAGCTATAAATGTTAGAAGAGGTGTATTGGTCATGAAGGAACAACGAGAAGTCACAAACGTTCACATTTAAGAAAAAAATAGTTATTTAATATATTTAGTTATCTATACAAACAATTGTTTGTATAGAAAGATTTTTTGGGTACTAAGATCCAAAATCCAGAGGGCTAAATAATCCCATTGTCAAGTCTAACTACAACATCAAAGACAATATTGACTGACTCAGATCTTTCTAAGGTGTTGCATCTCTAAATCAGACAAATGGGCTCTAATGACATGAGAAAGTTAAGTCAAAGGAGTTTACTGAATGACCACAAGATAACAAATATGTATTTTGTTAGCATTGTATAGCTAGCATGTCCTATAGAATAAGATTATCAATTGGGAAGCATACTACTAAGTGACCTCTTAATTATATCCATTCAGAGGTATGGGGTTTGGTTAGAAACATTTCCATGGGTAGAGATTTGTATATGCTCACAATCATATATGACCAAAAAAGTATGGTGATTTTTCTTAAAGCACAAGGGTTGTGTTAGCTATTTTTAGAGGCTAGAAGGTGATTTAGAAGCAAACTAGATCGGAAATCATATACCTTCCCTCAGAGAATGAATCAGAGTAGTTTTACTTGGAAGAGTTTAACGCTTTTTGTAGAAAGCAGGGTATTACAAGGCATCATATCATTGCCCATACTCCTCAATAGAATAGGGCTACAGAGAGCATAAACTATACCATTCTCAAGAAAGTATGATATATGTTGTCAATGAAGAAAATTCCAAAGTCTTTTGTGAGGAAGTTGCATCCATGGCTTGCTGTATTGACAATGATATCCCTCTGTTGCTATGGAGGAAAAGAATCCAATGGAATTTGAACCAAATAGTCCGCCAATTATTCAAATTTTAAAAAAAAAATCATTGTCTGACTTATGCGCATATTGATAATGGGAATTTAGAACCAGGATCATTTAAGTATGTTTTTCATATGTGTACTCCGTTGTGGATTGTTCGTTCGACGCAAATCCTCCCTTGTTTGCATTCGAGTAAATATTGATACCTTTCTCATAGGTTTTCATGCAGAACAATTCATATCATGGATTTTTCTTTAGATAATATAGTATTTGGAACACTACTTCCATATGTCAAATATATTACAAATTTGATATCAACTCATGTATGTGGAAGATAGATTAGTATTACAATTAACCTCTAGTATGTTCCCTTGTTTGCCAATAAGTCTTCCCCTTCTATCTAAACATTGTCGGTCGGTGTCATGGAAACATTAGGTATCTTAGGTCCTGATACCTTAATCTCTCCCAAGAGCTTGAGTGTATACTTTAGTCGTAATGTTGAGATTCCTTTCGTTTACTATGAGATTTGATTCCTATGGAAATATCTTATTGAACAAGGTTTTTGATCACAAATCTCTCCCATGAAGAGATTTAGTCAACTAATCTCCTCTATATAGTCACTGGTTAACATAATATCTTTAATATAGATGATATGTGTTGAGAATTCAACACATAATGCATCCGTTTTACGTCTTTTTAGTTATAATTAGTTTCCTTTCGTTCTCACTTTGAGTCATTTTGATTTATTTCTTTATACTTTTGTTATGGAGCTAAAATATTGTGGTTTAACTTGTTGGGACATAAAAATATAAGCTAACGGAGAATTTTTTGTAAAACAGCCTGATGCTACAGCATTACAGCAGCAACCACCTGTTACGTACACGGTTTGGCAAGGGCTTAACGATTAAGCTGTTGACTTTTGGATGCTGAATAGACGACAACTAGATGCCAACTGGAAGATTTTATTAATCAGGGATTTTTGGACTAATGGATCATCTTGTGCCTAAGATTCCCTTTGTTATTAGTCTTTGGTCATTAACTATTGGGTTATAATTTTGTTGTTTTATGCTAGACTTTTTGTATAAATAGGGGAGCTTGGCCATATGTTTAAACACATCATATAACATATTTGCAAGATCAAAATCAGCTAGTTAGGGCTGATTTTGAGAGCACCTTTTGAGAAAATTCCAAGTTCTTGAATTTTCAAGTTTTCTTCTTTAATTTCTCGTCATTTATTTTCCGTTCTTTATTTTATGCCCCTTTATGTTTATTATCATTTACTTTCCGTTATTTAAATTCCGCAATTTACTTTCCTGCAATTTACTTTCCGTTCTTTATCTTTCCGTCATTTATTTTCCGTTCTTTACATTTATGTCTTTACTTTCCGTCATTTATTTTTATTGTATTTTACTTTCCGTTATGAGTAGCTAAGCTTTTATAGCTTGGGTGTGAGACGGAAATGTGAGATTTTTAAACCAAACGAAAGTAGCTAAGTGTTTTTGTAAACGACGTTCCATTGTTTCATTCGAGTTTTTATAAAAACCAAGCACACTTCTTGACGGGTTGATCACTTTGAAAGTGTTAAAGTGCAGTGGGCTTAGAGATAAGCCATCAATAAGCACGTCAACTTGGATGACATAAGAGGTAGACTTGAGAAAGTTGCCRACAAGGAGACTTGTCATTTATGTTTTTCAAAACTTAACTCCCGACGGGTTGGTTGTTCTTCAAAAGTGTCAAAGTGTGATAGATTCAGAGATGAACTATCAAGAACACGCCAACTCGAATGATATGAGAATCGAATTGAGAGAGTGATTTTTAACAAAGAGATTTGTTTATCCATATATTTTGAAAACACCATTGTGTCACTATCCCCGGTCCGGAYAMCAMATAGAGATATGGGTGGAAAGCTATAAGATAGTGAAATGGTGAAGTCCGAGAGGAATGCCTTCAAAATAGATGGTGGAACTTAGTTTCGAAACACTGCTTGCTGTAGCATTCCTATAGCATTGGCTGCTGGAATTTGCGTTTGGGTCTCACCTTAAGTCTTATACCCTTGCTTCTTTTATATAATATGTATTCTGTTTTGGATTACCTTACAATCAAAGAAAAGTCTTCAAAATCGCCATCTGAAATCATCTCTTTCATTGGACTCTATTCTAACTTAGGCCACAATCCCTGTGGACGATAATCCGGTACTTGTACCACTTTATTACTTGGAAAGACGTCGTTGAGCTGTATTGTATACTTGCTTTATGGCCCAATTTCATTAAGTCTAAAGGTGTGAAATACAACCGACCAAGTTTTTGGCGCCGTTGCTGGGGATTGCTTCGCTAAAGTTTTATTTTGAGTAAATTAAAAGATTTGATTTTTCTAGTACCATCGGAATCATTTTTAAAGTGGTGTATGCCACAGTCACAACGCGAAGAATTTTTCGAATTTGATCCCGCTATTGAGAGAACGTTTCACCATCGAAGGAGGGCTCAAAGAGCATTTTTTGCTCTACTCCCTCCAAACATGGCGTTACCTCCCCCAATTATTCCAGAAATACCACATTTGGAAAACCAATCGCCGGGTTTTGAACAAATTCCACCATTTCCGAACTTTCAACAAGAACATCCACATAATGGTAATGATATTAATTTGGACACATAATCGGA